TTCAGCCCGAGTCCTGTGACTCCCTGACACCACCGCTGGCGGCTGGCCCCTCCTGTGTCAGCACCCTGTGAGGTTTGGCAGGACCCTGTGGCATTCCCCACTGGGCACGGGTTCTCGGCACATTCCTGGACACTGACCTGAGGGCACAGCGCCCTCAAGGATGCCCCGGCGTCTGGCTGGCAGGCAGGTGATTCCTGACCAGGCTGCTGGGTTTAGAGGACTTGGGTCAGCCTCCTGAAGGCAGTCTGGAGAAGGGGTTTCCTTGCCATAGCCAAGTCCCTGAGCAGGGACTACTCTGTCCCTGAGCAGGGACTACTCTGTCCCTGAGCAGGGACTACTCTGTCCCTGCTGCCTTTTCTGCAACTTCCGTGACCCCCTCTGCCCCCGACTGGGGGGTGCGGGAACCAAACTCACCACCAGTTCCAAGGAATCTCCCTGTTGGCTGCCACTGCCCTGCCCCCAAACGTACCAGGGTTCCAGAAGCCAGAGTAGAAGTCAGTACATTACATCCGATGCCTTATTTTAGAAAAATAAAAATTTTTAAAAATAAAACTCACTGCCATTGAGCCTATTCTGAATCATAGTGACCCTATGGGACAGAGTTGAACTTCCTCTGTGGGGGCTCCCTTATTTCAGATGTCCACTGTGGTCTGAGCACTGGGACAGCCTCACAGTCACCTTAGGAAGTGGGTATTCTTAGTCCATTTGACAAGAGACTAGTTGTCCCAACCCACTTTCATCCCCACTTCCAGCTGATCCCGCCTGCCAATCCTCACCCCAGCCCCTGCAGTGGGAGAGCCCCAAGGCCACTGTGAGGTCTCCTGTCTGCCTACAGACCTACTGACCGTCTGACCGACAGACCGCAGGGTGGGGGTGGGGCTCCAAGCAAGGAGGCCTGTGCCTGGCAGAGCCAGGCTTCTCAGTGGGTCACAGGAGAGGACAGCAGTTGAGAAACTAGGAGGTTCCTGGGCTGAGAGCTTTTGGATCGGGGGTGGGGGTGGGGGGGTGGCTGCAGGAAGCCTGCCCTGGGGTCTCGAGGCGGCGGAGCTGCCTTTTGAGGCAGCGTGTCTTCCCACCAGGGACTCAGAAGTCGGTCAATCTCTGCCCACTCTGCCTTTCCTGCGCCCAGGGGGACAGGCTCCTCACTGAGCCTGACTTAGCCCTCCTGCCACAGGAACTATCTTTTCCGGGGTCACTCTGCTTGGGACTTGTGTCAGCTATGTGACCCTCACTCCCAGCAAACTCCTGATCATCTCCAGCCTGGATTTCCACGTCTGTGACCTAGGAGCCACAGGAGGGAGCGCTGGCCTATGACTGAAGGGAAGGAGTGGATGCAGAGGGGCTGGTGCATCGCTAGCCTTTCTCCACGTGCCTCTGGGTGCACTGGAACCACCAACCTGTCAGTGAGCAGCTGAGCAAGCACTTCATTGTTTGCACCACCCAGGTACTCCCACTGGGTGCCCTGAAACACACACACACACACACACACACACACACCCCCCAACAACTCAAACGCAGTTAACTTTTACTTACTGTGCCCCTCTATGACAGGGTAGAACTTCCCCCTTTGGGTTTCTAAAGCTTTTAAATCTCTCCAGGACTAGACAGCCTCCTCTTTCTCTCGAGGAGCAGCTGGTGTGCGGCTAGACCTGGTGTGGGTTCAAACTGCTGACCTCGTATTTAGCATCTCAGTGTGTAACCCACTGCTCCACTGGAGTTCCTGACTAGGTGTCCAGCAGATGTTCAATACTTGTAGCCGTAGTGGCAGTTGTTACTTCAAAGGGCTTTTCCAGTCATTGTAACGTGCCCAGCACAAGAGGAGAGACTGAGGCAGGCCTTGCTCCCACACTAGGCTGGGCCCGTCGGTCATGCCTGCCTACTCTCCAAGGCAGGGAGGACAGAGAGAACAGAAGAAAGGAGCCTGCCAGGAGGGCACCAGGAGTCTGTGCAGTGCTGGGCCCTACCTTCTAGTTTCCAGAGCATTCCAGGGAAGCAGGCATGGGGAGTGTGCGAATCAGCAGCTCCTGCTCCAAGGGGCCGGAGGCCGAGCCTCCTTCCCTGGAGTACCAGACCCTCTCCGGATTCACTAACCATAGTCCCTGTTCTGCTCGGCTGTCTGAGCGGCAGTGGCTGGCCTGCAGCCAGACCCACCTGATTAGCTTCTCCCTTTTGGGAATGAGGCACATTTCTCTTCCCCGGCACTGTCCCACCATGACCCTGGCTCTCCCCATCCCTGAACCCTTCACCTTCACCCTTCAGGCCTTAGCTGCTGAGTGGGCAGGAGCTGGTGGAGGGCTTTGGGCAGTCTGGGGCTTTGGAGGCCGTTCCAGCCACCTCTGCCCCTCCATAGGAAAGGCCCTTAGGGTAAGTGAATTGCTCACCCAAGTTTCAGGATCCTCATTTGTAAATTGGGGAGAATAATGGTATTCCTTCATGTGGTTCTCAAGA